TGTAAATCCACGTCACCATGGTTTTACTGCTGTTTTCAGACGCGGTTCATTATAGTTGTCCTACTTTAATAGTCTAGTGTAATGGTGTATTCAGAGCTACCATTATCTAACAGATCCCTCTGTCTGCTCTGAACTCCTTTTTTGGAAAACTCAGTAGCTCGGTCCTAGCTAGCATTCCTGGAAGTCCTGAACTGGGAACATCACAAAGACAGTTTTCCATGCGTCTGAAAGAATCAACCTTGTTTGGAGACACTTTTTAGCTGAAGAAAACTGTGAGTCTTTCAAAGCTAACTTGTCTGACTGTTTTTGTGCCTGTGAAACATGGCAGGAGTTCAAACTTCTATTGTAATGAAGAATAATACCCACCATAAGCCTGTTTTTCTGGATCCCAACACTTGATCCGGTTGCCTTCCTGTGTGCAGCTTTTCTATTTCTGGATTCTTCCTTTTACTGTGTCTTCACTTAAAGATGCAGTATTTTACATGAAATATGTTTTTTACATATTTGTTAGAATGTTGTGACAGGTTAGAATAAGACAGATTATCTGTGAAAAAAAATCAAGCTCCTCTGCCTTTTCCCAGTGCTCCCAGTACCAACTGCAGAAATTAACCACTCAGTCAGAAACAACCAATCAGAGACAGGAGGAGGGTCTTAGAGCTGTCAATCACTCTCATGCTTACCTTCTCCCTTTGCTCTCTGCTACATTACATTTAGTTTAAAATAACATAGCCAATCACTAATGCTTAGGCTAGTTAGCATAACCACCTGTGACAGCAGATAAACTGTAAGTTGTTTGTTCGGCATTAGCATATTGAGCAGCGAGTACACGATGTTGACAGACACTGCTAAGCCCCTCCTCCTGGCTCTGATTGGTTATTTTTGAACATTAGCGGTGCATTTCTTCAGACTGCAATATTAGCACTACATGCTCCAGTTTTAATGACATAAGAAACAGTATAAGCATTCTGAATAAGATGTCAGCCTCCTAACTGACTGGTGTTCCCCCTGCAGCTGCTGGTGCCTCCCTGCAGCTGTCTGAGCTGCAGCTGCTGAATTACGATGCTGCAGTCACGCCGGAAGTTCTGCAACCTTTGGCCAATCTCCGCAGCCTGTCGGTCTTCCACCTTTACTCTGTACCCGGACCCACCTGTCACCTGCAGACATGGCTGTCATCACTGCAACAGCTCTGCAGCCTGAGTGTGCACGGTAACTATCACCTGACAAACGGGTGCAGTGTTTGGTCACATATTAAGTAAGTAGTAAAGAGGTATGGGGAAAAAATAAAAAGTCGTTTTTGAACTACTGCAAATAAATATATGTCTATATTTCAAAATAAATGTTGTCTAATCATATATCACTGCTGCCACCAACTGTTTTGGAGGGGTACTGCTTGTTGTGGAGGCGTGCTCTGCTTTTGAGTTGGAGCAACCAATCACTTGGCAGGGTGGTGGCCGCCCCCTGGCTCCGCCCTGGGTGTGTTGGAGAAGGGATGCATCTTCAAGCTACAGCAGGGTAGCTCTCCACGACTTTAGATCAAAGCAGGTCCATGTGAAAAAAAAAATGGTGCAGTCAAAGTACAGACCTGAATCCAATTGAGAATCTGTGACTAGAATTGAAGTTTTCAGATTGCTTCCATCCAATCTGATTGAGCTTGAACTATTTTTTGTTTTGCTGCGCTTTCTTGCACAATGACAATAAAGGATTCAGATTTTGATTTATAATTAAATGTCCTATAAATGTTTGCCTTTCGCCGTACACAGCTGGTAGAGACATGAGTGATGGTGGCAATGAAAGGTTCTTCTACAAAGTCCAACACAGGAGGGCAGCATGCAAACACCAGTTTTCTTTTGCAAAGAATTAAAAAATATATATATATATTTTTCCTCTTTACAGTTGTGCTCTACTTTGTGTTAGTCTCTCACATAAAAGATTAAAATATATCAAACTTTACTGTGGAAATGAGACAGTTTGGAAGAGAAAATAACATTACGCCCAACTACGGGTGGGCAACATGGACAAAGGTTTATTACTATATTTTATGGTACTACTGTGATGGCAATAACAGTGACGATAAGAACTATGTATTACTTCTCTTTTAGATAACTGTGACTGCATAACACAGCAATCACAGCCAATAAATACAAATGCTCTTGAAAAACATTCCCATTTGTAATGAGCTCCTTAGGACACGTCCACTTAAAGAAGTGAGATTTGTTTCATGAAACTGCTCAGTCATTTCATTCAATCATATTTTCAAATTTATTGGTATTTTTAGATTCTCGTTGAACAAGGAGTAGAGAAAATGGTTAAAAAAAAATTCCAACAAAACTTTTCTTTTTGTAAACATCATTAATTAGAATGTACAGTAATATGTGATAATGTTTTGAGCAGCCATTTTGGATTTTCAGGTTTGAGATTAGTTTAAAATCAGTTTCTAGATGTCATGCAGCACAGATGAGTTAAACTCCAACAAGCTTCACTTTATACAACAAACCCAGCAGCTGCAGTCCTAATCAGCGCCTTCATACTGAATGTAACTCCTCTGGTTGTCTGTAAACAGGAGGGCACCCCCTGGTGGTGTATGCTGACTTCCTCCCATCCTCCCTCCGCAGCCTGACTCTGTGTGTGGACCTTCAGCCTGAGGACCTGCAGATTGTCTCCTTCAGAGCTCCCAACCTGAGGCACCTGCACCTGGAGCCATGGAGCTCCTCCTCCAAACTAGTCAGGCTCCTCCCACAGCTGTTCCCTGGCCTGAGGACGCTGGCCATCAGGTGGGACGCTCAAACACCAGTCTCACCAGCTGCATGTCCATATCGAATGTGTGCAAATCTTTGTCGATAGTCTGCCGACTTTGAAAAAAGACAGTTTTGCAATTACTGTTTCTGTCAAATAATATATAAAATTAAAATCACATACGAATAAGCTTGATCTCGCTATAGCTAATTATAAATCATGGCAGCGACAGATGTAAACTGTTACATGAGATATTCATAATTCAATGGCCATCATTTATCAGCCAATAAGGGGAGGTGTCAGTGTTGGAGGAACAAGCCCCGCCTACTTGGGAGTGGCTACGTATGCAGCGTTTTGGGGAAATTGGAATCGCCAATTTTACAGAAGAGTTATGGATTCAACACAACGACGCACTAATGTTTATCAACTGTGTGATGCTAGAACTCTGGTGGAAGCAGCTGCACATTGTCCAAATTAAAAACAGAAATAAACCAACATCCAACTGAGATGTTTCCATTAAAAAAGTGAATAAGTTTGTTCACACAATAAGCCACTCCATCGTCTTTCTACCACTTCCTGTCGTCTTCTTTGTCGTTTTCGCCAGTAGTAACATCCAACTGTTGATCACGTGACTCCTGTGATGCAAAATAATATTTCCACTGCAGTTTTGCAAAATACATCTGTTTCAATACGGCCAGAAAACCACCTCATCCTAAAAGAAACAACTTTTTATTGAGTTTTTTTTAATTGGCGTGTTTCCATTAAGCAAATTTATTCTTGTAATTTTAATTCGTGTAATTTTAGGGTTAATGGAAATGCAGCTACAGAGCTCTTTGGTTCCCATAGCAACCTGCGGTCTCTCTATTCTTGTCCTCAGACATCATCACGCGTCCGATGAAGACTTCCTGGGTCTCCATCAGCTCCAGCATCTCAACACTCTGGAAGTTCTGGATTCATTTTACAGGCCAGATCCTAAAGATCCGAGCTTGGTTGTCAACAAGCCAAGTCCTCGTCTGCTGCAGCTGATCTCTGACCTGCAGAAACTCACCAATCACAAAGTCAGAGTCCTCACCAGTTCACACATAGACCTGCTCCCCTGTGGCTGCGTCTGACTAGAGACCAGGGCCAACAGCTGCACCAAAACCCTCTGACTGACCAGTGGAACCAATCAGGGCCAGGTGCAGTCCTACTTCTCATTCTTGGGATTCTGATTGGCTGTGAGGTGGGCGGGTTCTCAGGGTGCTGATGTTGTGGCTCTGCCCCCTGTGGTCTTCTCCGGTACTCTCCACTCCCAGCTCTGAGTGGGTTTGAAGTTGTTGCCCAACCACTGAGATTATTCTTTACTTTGTGAAGGACATGCAGTTTATTCTTTAGTGTGCAATGAAAAAGGATTTCCTTCGGTTCTTGCTTTTTGTCACATTTTAAATATTCACATCATCAAATGAATTTCATCATAAAACAAAGATGACCTCTGGTGACCTGTCCAGGGTGTAGCCTCCCTCTCCTGGTGACCGTTAGAGATGGAGCTGTTTTCAAATCATGGTTTCATTTATTAAGAGAAAAAACCTGATCTTATGTGAAAAAGTAACTGAAGCTGGTACTAGGCATTTGAGATCATGAACAGCTTGTTTTAAGGTCATGCCACTGAATTTCAATTGGATCCAAGTCCAGACTTTGAGTAGGCCACTCCTAAACCTTCATTTTTTTTATTCATTCAGAGATGGACTTGCTGGTACGACTCAGATCACTGTCCTGCTGTTTACGCTCAATCTGTTTAAACTTAAAGGGGCAGAATTAGGCATTTTTCTGCCACATGCTGCTATTGTGTAGTAACTGTGTTGCCTTCAGTTGTTGTAAAAAATACTGCATATATCAAATATGTCTTGAAAGAAATCTGACTTCCCAGTTTAACACTTTCAAATTGTGCCTCTGTCTCTTTAAGAAACGCCTGCTCTTCCAATCAGACCCTTGACCTTCAGCACATCATTTCTGTTAAGCTGTTTACAGCCATTTTAACAGCAATGCGCTGAGTAGCAGTAACTATGATGAGCTCAGCCAGGTGTTTGCTAATTGCTGCTGCTGCTGCTAGTCTGGAGGAGCTGAGTGGAAATGGGGAGATGCTTGTTTAAGCATTTAAACCTCCCACTAACCCTACCCTCCCAATGGTTGCCATGGGAGATTCAAGGATTCCTCAAAAATACATGAAAGCATCAAGTCAACACTCCTGGTATGATGAGGGAGTAACATTATATTATGATGTAAAGCTCAAAAAAGTTGATTGTACATAACACTGCCCCTTTAAGAACACTAAAAGAAGATGTTGCTCTGCAGTGGCAGCTTTGGCCTTGAAATTCTCCAGGATGTCATTCCTCTCCAGTCTTTCCCTTGTTGTTGAAAACCCTCTAAAGTGTCTGAATTAAACCAATTCCTGCAAAGCAGAGTGGATCTAAATTCATCCACAGCCATAACTGGATGTGATTACCAGTTATCACAAACACTTGATGGCAGCTGTTAGTAGTAAGTGAAGGACAACTAGTTATCAGGCTTGGTGGAGCTAACAGGGCCTGCTGGGTATGGATGGTTTGGTTCCCTTGATAAATGTAATCATCACATGGAAGCTGCTTCCTCTATTCAGTCACTTCTCTTTGATATTAAAATGTGATGAAAATGCAAAAGCAGAAGAAATCTGAAAGGTGGCTGAGGCTGAGTGAGGCAGCTGAGCGGTGCTGAGGTTGGTTGGTTCCAGATTGCTCATCTTCTGCATGTAGCCAGAAAACATGGACCACATTCAGAGGAAGATACCTGGCAGAGTTCATCTAGCTCATTTTTTCTGTTTACCTCTTAATACATCAAACACTAAAAACAAACGACTCTCTAGAAGATGTCTGTTTTGTACAATGAGCTAAAGAAACCTGCTAGTGCCTGAAGTTTTATGTTACACTTCTTTATGTTTTTAATGAAGAACCTTTATGTGCTGAGTGATTGTTTTTATTGAAGTTTGATTGCACTGGTTGCAGTTTTTGGCTGTTCACCAATATTTAAAGGGTCTGGCCTGCCGATTTGGCCGACACTGATTGTTTTGTCTGAGAAGTGGCTTAGTGATCCGCAGTGACTGTTCACTATCTGACTGCCGGCCGTCTGTCACAGCAGATGAACAGGAGACAGGCTGGTTTTCAAAATCTGCCTGGTCTCACCTTCTTGGTTTATTTTTCTTTTTTTTGTCTCCTGCTGAAACCCTTTCCAGGAATAACCGCCATTGTTGGGTATTTTATTTTGAAAGTGTAACTGGTTACTGTTAAGTTACCCCATTTAGAATGGAACAGTGGTTTTTCATTTACTTTGAAAAAGTTTCTAAATGCATATTTACTTTGACCTGCCACAGGTGGGTGGCTGGGATCTAAGGTTCTGCTGGAGGAGCCAGAGCTGGTAGATGTGTTTCAGTATCACAGCCTTTAAAATGACTGGTCTGTTCTTCTTTGATTTATTTTTATTTGGGAAACAATCACTGGGAAGACTCAAATTATTTTTTCTAGACAATAACGAGATCTTTCTGGAAAATGTTTTTGTCATCAGTAAAATACTTTATTTTTGTCTGTTGTCTAAATCTTGTAAAAAGAAACTATATTTTGTAAATATTTCTCCTGTGTGGTTCTGGTTATTATTTCTAAGTATGACTCACATTTTGACTACTGTTGTGATACGTACCTCACACTATTTAAATCTTCCTAATGAAGGAATACTCAATAAATGTGGACCTTTTAACTACTGCAGCCTCTCATTGTTATTTTGGTCCTAACAAAAAAATCCTCAGTTTTAAAAACTCATTGAAAATCAATTCACTGCAGCGGTGCACCTGTGTGGTGGCCATTTGAATTGTTCCTCTCCTGAAATATTTTTTAAATATGTTTAGTATCATCAGTGTTTCCATGAATTACTAACATTTTTCAGTGTAGTCATTTTTAAATACTCGCCTGTCAAAGTATATGGCAAAAATGCAGGTTGTCCTATTTTTTTGTCCCCTGCATTAGTTAAGTGTTTTCTGGTTACTCCTCTCCTGGACAACCTCTAATCAAAAAAAACATTTTTAAATCCAGTTGTGTTGAATCTGTCGTTTTACTGTACTACCAAATCCATAAAGATTCATTTATTCTTCTCTCCAGTGATGTGTTGGCAGTTATCAGTTCAACCCTGATGTCAAACTAATTGTTTTACGCTCATCTTTGGCTTTTTTTCTTTTTCTGCCTGGAGTTTAATTCATGTCTTGTTGCTGCTCTGATCTGTTTATACGGAATGATGCGAGTTAAAAGCTGAAAATTCAAATATTGAGCATTTCCATATTAAATCGGTCTAGTTAAATCAGAAGCAGCCCTGGTTCTGCTATATCCCAGCAGAAGTCCAGATTAAGGAGCAGACATCACCAGTCTGACACATTCTCTGAAACCAGTGAGGACAAATACAGAATACATTTTTATTTCAAAATAAAAAAGTTAAATATTTACAGATTGAAGTAAATTGATAGATTTCATGAGCAAATGTCTTCTTCCACCTCCATGAACAGCGCAGGGCGTTTCCGTTTCCATGTCGACTACATGATGGTCTGTCCTGTCTGAGGACGGAAGGCAGAGAGAAAACCAGTACAGCTGCTGGAACCGGACCGAACCGGACCGGACCTCTGGACTGTTCTGGTACTGAGACAGGTCTCCATTCATGTCCATAGCCAACACCGTCCTCATGTCCAGCAGTACAGCTGCTGCAGCACATTGTGCTGAGATTCCCTTCCAGCTGGCTGGCTGGAAGAACGAGGCGCCGCTCACTCCGCCAGCTCGCTCTCCTTCTGTTTCTTCTTCTTCTTCTTGGGTTTCTCGGCGACCTGGATCACACACACTTCAGTGAGTTCTGGTAAAAGGTCATGTTCACAGACTGAGGAGGTCCACTCCAACTCACCGGCGTGTCGGGCTCCTCCTCGGTCTTTTCCGTCTCGGCTTCCTCTAGCTTTGCTTTTTTCTCCTTTTTCTTTTTCTTCTTTTCTTTCTTGACGTCCTCAGCAGACGGCGTGCTGGGCTGGGCCGGCTCACTGTCGCTCTCTGCTGACTCTCTCTTCCTCTGCAAGAACGTCATGATCACAGCTGATCAAACTTCAGGAAAAATTAACTATCCGGTGCTTTCACTGTGTACAGACAGTTTTCTGCCTCAAGCATGACAAGACATTTAATATCATGAGAGGATCTGTAAACTAAATATCCATCAATCAATTTGAAAAGTGAACCATTTTTCTGAATCAAAAATAAACAAATTACCATTCCTATTTGAATAAAAGTCATTAAATTCTTCTTTCATGGGAACAACAGATTATTTTCTGTCCAGCCTCAAAATAAATAAACACATAAAAAAACATAATATAGATATATCTTCCTCTATGTCCACAGCCCTGTTCTACACTTTGCTTCAGGGTCTGGACTCTCAGCTGTCAGACGATTTAAACTTTAACCAAAAGCTAACATTTCGCCATGACGTTTGTAATGTATGCTGAGTGCATCTATCCACAAATACACTCCTTCCATCTAGAACTAACAATGAAGGGTTTAATTATTTAAATGGCAGTCAATGAAATATTGATTAAATGATAAATCAGCTTGCCATATTATCTTGCTGCTCACACAGGTAGCTTGTTATGACAGCACACCTAAAGACCATCGCTCTAAAGCGATAGTGTGATCTCACCTTAGCCGAGGCGTCGCCTGATGCTGCCACACTGGAGGCGCTGCAGAGAAAAACACATGTTGACGTTAAACTGCCTCAGGGCCTGAAACAGCTGAGACTGTTCTCTGGGGAGCGGGGCCCCCAGCTGCTGCTGGCCAGGGGCCAAGGCTCCGAGCAGAGATTCATGTAGCAGAGCGACTCCCTCAGAGAGCACGGCAGCTCAGAGAGGGATAACTCTCTGCAGTGAGCGAGGGCCACCAGCAGGGGCCAGCAGTGAGTGCAGGGTACCTGTAGTCAACATACTGGTCCTTCCAGTCCTGAGGCGTGCTGCCGTTGGGTTTACCATGTTTATCCAGGAGGCCCTTCTGAATCATCATCTTCTTCTGGCTCGCCTGGTTCACACAGCATCAGACCAGAGGTCACAGACACACTCAGGCATGTTTTCATGTCTTACAGGGACTTTAAATTGATTTCCAATTATTTTCTAAAGCCTAACCCTAACCAAGACACAATTCACACCTTAGTCCTAAACCTAACATACAAACAGCAGTTCTGTTTTTGTTACATATGATGCCATATATACGGCATCATATGTTCAATTTGAACACATGATTAAATGCAGTTTAGTGATATAAATCTCTCTCCTTTAAGTGACTTGTGTCCAAAGAACCTCGTCACAAATGAGAATGTTTTTCAAGAGCATCATTTGTGTTTGTGGGGATACAAGTCATAAATAGTTCTTATCACTTTAATCATAATAAGAATAAAAATATTATGAACATTTCCAGAACGATAAAAATTTCAATAAGTTACTTTAGCTTATATTTTAGGATAATTGAAAAACAGATTTTATTTTATTTTTTGGCCTGTTTTTCCCCTCCAACTTTCTGAGGCCTCTCTAGAGCCCCCTGGTGGCGCTCACTTAGAAAAACACCATTAGAAAACTAAAGGCTCTTCCTCATACCTTGGGCCCCAGGCCCCACTTCCTGGGGTACGTATCCCGCTCCATGATCACCCTCTTTATCTTGGCTACAACTCCGTGGTCACAGGTGGAGATCACCGCTGTGGTCATCAGAGCCACGGCTGCAGGAAGAGGACAGGCTTCAGTCTAGTTAGCGGTCAGTCTGACCAGACGGCAGGCTAACCGAGGAGCCATCAGGTAAGGGTGATAGATAGCAGGTCATCACGGCCCG